CATGCATCTCAGTTTATAAAACGGAAGCCCCTAGAATATTGTGTAAAATTTTTTATCCCAAACTGAATATTTTAAATATACTGGAAGAACTTTCCATATCAGATAAACCATTGTCAACATTTGTACAAATCAAAAGATTTTGTGATCTAGTTGGTGGCATAACATAATTTCAAATGACCTTGACATACTGTGCCACTACAGGCACAAAGCCACAGGCACATGGTCCAGGGCAACCATGGTCTGAAAGCTCTGAAAGTGTGAGCCAAAATAAATCTTTCCTCCTTTTAAATTGAGTATCTCAGGTATACTGTCACAGGGTAGAAGGAAAACACAATGATACTATTTTCTCTTATATAAATTGAAATTTGTCATGATAAAAAGATTTTGATTAAATAAGGCCTTACTTGAAGGGATCAATTTGAACATCTCCAATTGCCCATCTTAGAATGCTACACACGTCCTAGGATATTTATCACAGCTGAAAAAGCAAGACTCCCTTCTATTTATATGTATGCATGAAAAAAATTAGTTTATGACATCTAAAATGATAGTGTCTCTGTTGGAATCCACTAAAGTTCTTTCAACAAGGTTTTACTAAAGCAAACATTGTGCTTCTGAAAAATCACACTTTAAAAAGGTCTGAATTTTATAGTATGGGGATTATTTAAAAATTTACCTTTGAGGTATGTATGTATGTATGTATGTATGTATGTATGTATGTATGTATTTTTTGCTAAGGATTGAATCAAGGGGCCTCAAACATGGATTCCACCACTAAGCTATACTCCTAGCCCTATCTTATTTTGCAGCATAATAAATGCCTGGATTTTCTGTTACCCCACTGGTTAACTATAGTGAATATTAGAATCACCTCTATGCTTTGTGTGACCAGAGATCACTATGCCTACTCTCAGAGTTTCATGTTCCTAGATCTGGAGTAGAGCCTGAAATTTTTGCATTTCTTACAAGTTCCTAGGTAATGCTAATGCTTCTCATCTGGGGAAGATGAGAATCACCAGTTCCAATAATGTAGGACAGATAATATAGTATCTAATCTGCATTGGATATGGGGACAATATTCCAGGTAATACTTCTGTTCTGGCACTACTTTAATTTCTTTCTTATTATAAAACCAGGGTAGAGAGGGCCCAAGAAAAAAAGTAGGGGTTATTTTTTAATAACCAAGGATTTTCTACTTAATTCTTTATAATTCAATCTTTTCCAATATGGGCAATCTCAACTCCAGTAAAATATAAGCAGAAAGCATTAAAAACAAGACCCAAAACTGAAAGTTACTGGAAAATAACATAGCACATATATCCACTACAAACACAAACATACATCATCATCTATCAGATGTGTTCACAAATATTGGCAAGTTTCCATGGAAGGGTCAACATACAGATGTCTACTTATCATCAAAATTTGAATTACTCACAATCTTGGGGCATTTTTAAGAACTGATAGTTCTAAATTGTTTTTATTTCTGTGAAATGAGTTTGCTTTATTTTTATTTATTTCTAGACCAGAAAAAAACACATAATTTTAAATTTTGTTCCTTAGGTAAGAAAAGATTATATCGTACCAAAAAATAGAGTGATGCTTAAAAAAAAAAATGTAAGAAAATGACCTGGTTTTAATGGAATTTTGAATGTTGAGATTTTCTCAAGTTCCACCAAGTTGCCATTTTATGCCATGAAATACAAATGCTAAGAAAAACAAATTAAGAGGGTTGTTTTTGTTTGTTTGGTCATATGCCTCCTACAAAATTTTTTCTCTAAATACATCTGTCAGAAAATATTCTGTCCATTGAATGCTTACTATGTATTAGGTATTCTGCTAAATATTGTTTCATTTCATCTTTTGTTACCACAATGGTTGATATAATCTTCAGTTTACAAATGAAGAAACTAAGGCTGAAATTGTTAAATTACTCAAAATGAAACTAGTCAGCAGTAGATTCAGTATTCAAATATGGACTTGTATGACAATGATCAGTTACACCACAAGACCTCTTAATTCATATTGATTCGTATTGGTTAATAATAGGTTCTATTTATTTTTCATGAAGTGCTTAGCACTGTGCTAAATACTTTATAAACATTATTTCATTCAGTTCTCTCACCCTTATTTTTTCTTTGCAGTACTGGGGATCAAACCAATATACCATTGAGCTACCTCACCAGCCCTTTGTATTTCGTATTTTGAGACAAGGTCTTGCTATGCCAAGGCTTACCTCTAACTTGTGATCCTCCTGCCTCAGCCTCCTAAGTAGCTGGGATTACATTCACGTCACAAATTTCAAGGAACTTGCTTAAAGATCACACAGAATGGGAGAGCCAGGATTGAACACTGATCTGATTCCACTTATTATCTCCTAGTCTCCTTTTAGGTATTTCTGTATTTTTAACTTGCAAGTACAGAATTAGATTCATACTCTGGCTGTTATTTGCTGAGAATATTATCTCTGATCTTCAAATATTTTAATATTAACTTTATGATTATTACTTTGGCATCCTATACTGGTTCATAGGAAGACTTCATCTAAACATTCCAGTGTTCCACATCATTGCTATCCATTTACATAATATTCTGCTAAATTTAAACCTGAAAGCTAAAATTGAAACCTCAAACAATACTCAGAACTCTTAAGTTATATTAGCTAAATGCTGAGCTTTACATCATCTACAGTTTGAAGAAACTTTTGCATCTGTCATTGCTAATGAAATCACTGTATTTATATTAATCATCTAATTACTGAATAGAAACTTGAAACTCTACACCACAGATTTCCTTCAAGGTCATTATGAATAATTAACAAAGAGCAGAGTTAAACAACTTGTACAAACAAACAAAAAATTCTAAGTCTATTCCTTTCTCTCTGTTGAGAAGCCACTAGTCATATGTAGACTAATAGTCCTCTCCATATATACATATATTTATAGCAATAACTATAACTTTTGGCCTCCAGTAAGTATCTAGTTCATTTTACTAGGATTATTAGTATAATCTCTGCTGACTAGAGTACACAATTTGTAATATATCTTAGAAGAATTCTGTAAATTTAAATCCCTATATGTATCAAAAGATTTTTACTTAGTTCTTTTGCAAAAATTTGAATTTAGAGTTGTCCAATCCTTGACTAGTATTATATATTAAGTAATTTCAAATATAAAGAAACAGCTTACAAATATACTTTAGATATTAGAGGTGTAACTCCGTGGTAGAGTGCTTGCCAAGTGCTTGCCAACTCTGGGTTCAATCCCCAACAGTGGGGGTAGAAAAAATACACACACACACACACTTGTTCTCTTTTTTACAAAAGGTATGCCAAAAAAAGCAAAACACTAGATATAAAAGCACTGCCTTAACTCTTCAGAATTTGAGACTCCTTATTAGACTATGCTATTAATTGCTAGAATAGGTGATAGGGAAATTGAATCTTCCAAACTTGAAAATATAAATTATGAGTTTTGTAAAAATTGTCTTTTAATAAATAAAAGGTGATACAGTGTTCATGACATTTTCTTGCTGCTGTTCACTAAATATGAAAACTTGCATAACAAGAATTTGCTGATCAAATTATTAGGCTAGAGTACACAATTTGTAATATAAAATAAAAATTCTTAGGGTCAACAAATTAACCTTTCAAGAGATAATTAACAGAGCACTATTTTATAGAGTAAGTAGAAAGTAGAGACAGAAATCCTAAATTGATTCAGATTTGGGGGTTTCAGGAGCCAAGCTTTATTATCACATCTTGGATCTACTAGTAATAATCGGAGTATCAGTGAAGGGTAAAAAACAAACAAAAGGCTCCTCCCAGAAAGTATCTTTCCATGACTGTCTCACCTGAGAAGACCCAAATCAAACTATTATAAAACTAATCAGCCCAGATGCTCCAAGTTGTTTTTACCCATCTAATTATAAGCTTCAGCAGAAGTGATAATACATATAAACTCAAAGTCGAACACTGTTCTCCTAATGCCTCAAGTAGTTTATTGGTAGTTATTATCCACATTTCTATAAATATAAACATTCTAAGTGATCATCACTAGAGTGCAGGTACATTTAACATGAAAGCTCCACAGGAGGCTACTTCATTTTGTGTAGAACAAAAATTAAGGTTTCAAAAATTCAATTATGCTGAAAAAAAAAAAAAAACTAAAACAAATGCTGCTATCAAAGTGCATTTCTTTTGGTGATTTCAGAACAAACAGCTGTTGGCATTACACATAGGAAATATGCTCATTTGCCAATATATGATTACTTGAACTAAGTCTTTCCTGAAGATAAGAATTAGACAAAGGTCTTTCCTCCTTATATATAAGAGTTTGGTGGGTTTTTTTTTTTTTTTAAACAGAAACAGCATCATTGAATTTTCATAAAACACTTTGCTACTTTCCTCTCATTTTCTATAATCATAATTCTTATCTGCAGTACTTTGCCATTCCTTACTATCATCAGGACTGTATATCTCAGGTAACACTGGTCAGTGGTAAGCAAAAAAAAAAAAAAAAAAGAAAAAAGAAAGAAAGAAATTAAAGCTCAGAACATATATTGATATTTTACATATTCATTCCATTACACATCAGGTGTTGTTTATAAAGATTTTGCCCCTCCCAAGACAGTACAAAAATATGTGAAAAACCACATCTGTTTTCAGCCAGCAAATATTAATAGAACAAATATCTTTTAACCAGAGTATTTTAGAGACCATGTATTATCTACATTCACTAATTGCTTTCTTCATAAATCCATATATCCAAGCATATGCATTTAGGATTAGTCCACATTCCCATATTTACTTTACTATTAAAGTCAAGTAAATTAGTCTAGGTTCTTTAAGTGAAAGTGCTTCTGACAACAACCTACTTCTATAATAGCCCCAAATCCCAAAAAAGTTGTTTTAAACCTGTGTAGAAAGATGCATAGTTATTTCTAAGAAAGACTACACACCAAAACATGCTTCATCAAGAAAACTAATCCATGCACTTGAGTATACCTCAAACACCTTATTTTTTATTGAAGTCAGACCAACTTAAACATTGTCTAGAATTAAGAGACAGCATTAAATTATTTGATTCCAGAAACATAAAAAAATCATTTAGCCAAAGTTTAAAAAAGCAAACACTTCCTCCCTGTCCCAGTGTGATCATATAACTGCATAAATATGTGTATATATTAATCTACTTTAAGTATCCATTCACTAGCATTTTATCTTAACATACAAAGCCTTGTATGCAATTTCTTTGCAAAGGCTTCCCCCCAAAAGATATAAGCACAAAACACTAGGTAGACACTCTTCAGAGTTTTATTTTACTAACTTCAGGTCAAACTTCCACAACTATTTTCTGGTCAATTTACTATCCTTGCTTGGCTTCCCAAAATGGTAGTACCGATAGATTTATGGTGTAGGGAGAGGAAACCACTTTAAGAAGCACTGCATTTACTCATCTTCCAAAAGGCAAATAAATTGGGCATCTGATTGTTCAACAAAACAAAGCTTTAATAGCATCCAGGAAGGCAGACACGCAAACCAGGCTGTAGACACTCTTCCATTTGTCAAAATCAGACCAGAGAAAACCTATTCCACACAGATATAAAAGGTATTGTTATTCATCTTTTCTTTTTCTGTTGCCGCAACATTTTTCTTCTTTTAATTATCATATCGTGTAGTTTCTCAAGTCCTTCCTTTAGTCCATCTCCTATGATTGCACAGGTAGGCTGCAAATGCCAAGGTGTTGATGAGCTCAGTTCACCCATTGCTAACAATTTTTCAATTTCTGTGAGAGACAGTGAGTTCCTCAGGTCTTGTTTGTTAGCAACTATAAGTACAGGGACTCCTTGATTTTCTGATATCCTAGTTATTTTATGAAGTTCTGTTTTGGCTTCTTCCATTCTTTCAACATCAACAGAGTCCACAACAAACACAATGCCATCTGTGCATCTGGTATATGACTTCCACAGTGGCCTTAATTTCTCCTGACCACCTACATCCCAAAAGTGAAAAGTGACTGTTTTAGAATTTCCCAAGGTTACCTTAATTTTCTCAGTGTTAAATCCTTTGGTAGGTACAGTATTTACAAATTCATTGAACTGCAGCCTGTATAAAACAGTTGTCTTTCCAGCACAGTCCAAACCCAGTATAACAATGTGGAAGGACTGAAATGAAGGGAGGCTGGACAGGATAGAAGTCTGATCTGACAGTCCATTCCCCATTTCCAGTTGCAAATAAGTGTCCCAAATTGTAATTTCTTCTTTCTGCTTTGGAATCTCTTTGGTGATGCAGCTACAAGACTGCTGGGGAGGAAATGAAAAAATTATTCCTGTGAAATAATACATTAAAACGGGTTTTCTCTATTTTAGGTAAAATAAGCGACACGAGGAACTTAATAAAACTTGTTTTAGTAAGCAAATCAGATGTCATATGAAACGTTCACAATCCAACGCAAATCATGGAATAATTGAGATTGGAATTCTGTGTTTCACTTAATTCTGTGGTAACATGTACTTTCCTTTACTCCCCCCAGCCCCGTGCTCCCCAAATCTTAGACTTCATTCTGGAAGACAACTCAGTTACCACTATCTAGTCTAACTCGCCGTAACCATAAAAGTGCCCTTTTTGGTGTCAGAAAACTCATAAAAGGTAATTTAGGGATCTAATCTCACATGATTCACAGGATACTCAAGATCACTGTTACAAGCTCAACCTCCCCCCCCAAAAAAAATAAAAACCCCTCTTACCTCCGGAATCGGAGTCTGGGTCCAAACGAGAAACCATTGGCAGGCGTTTCTATGCGGGGGGGAACGCACCCCACGTCCGTCCAGCTTAGATCTCCACGCAGCTCTAGCAGTTGCTGCACTAGAAACCTTGGACTCAGACAAGGACCACGCCCACTCCTCACGGCCCACCCATGATCCCAAATCCCATTGGTCACCCGTATCAGGGCAGCCCTGCCACTCCCGCCCCCGAACCCTAATTGGTTAGGGAAACCGTCGCTCCCAGTGAGGCAGAGCAGGGCTCTCTCCTGGTCCACCCGCACCACCTGTTGACCCTAAGTTAGAAAACAAGGCGCTCTAGGAGAAAGCCAAGCGGCCCCTGCAGGGGAGGGGATGCCTCAGACTGTCAGGTCGCCGTCAGCCCTCTGGCTCCGCCCGCCCCGGCGCACCTGCAGCGCGGCCCACAGACGTTGCGCCACGGTCCTCACATCCGGGGCCCGCAGTCACGGCCGGCGCCTTAACTCTTTCTCGGCTGGCGGAGGGTGCTCGTTATGGTCGCGCCAACCCCTGTGGCACAAACGATATGACCTGCGGCTCCCGCAAGGGCAGGCCCTCCCTCCCTGCAGCGACATCCCTTCACCTCACTCCTCGGCAACGGGCCAGCTCTTCCCCCGCTAGGGCGTGGCCACCCGGCTACAGCTCACCTGACTAACCGTCCTTCCCTCGTCCTAACTCTGTGTCTCAGCCGTTTGGGAAGTAAGCTGACACCTGTCCCAGGGTGTCAGCAAAGCCTGGACGGTGGCAGGGGACCACAGGCCGCTTCCAGAGGCGCCGGTGGGCGCCGCGCGAAAGGCCGCCCCAACGGTGCTCTGCCGGCTACTCCCCGCGCCGGCCGCGGCCCCGCCCCCTTCCCGCGCGACGCCCAGGCGCTGGCCGTTGGGGGGCGCGCTGGAGCCGGGTCTCCTAGCAACACCGAAACAGGGTCACTTTTCGAACCCGCCAGTAGCTGGCTGCCCGCAGGGTCGGGTGGGGCTTCCTGACTCGGCTAGCCAGAGCCCTCGCTCACCCAGACATTGCTGTCGCCTGCAGCCAGCTTCAGACAGGCCCCGCCCTGTACCTTGTCTCCTTGTGTCACCCTAGGGCGGCGGCCGTGTGACGCAGCGTCAGAGATTCCAGAGGACACCAGACCGGCAGGCACTTTATGTAACGGGCGGTGAGGCGGTACCCCAGTGGCTGCCCTCCGCGACCTGGTCTGCCTGGCGCACTTTCCTTTTCTAAAGCAAATAAGCATTCCCTCCTGCGTAGTTCTTGGCTGTATCCCTGTGGGTTAGAGACAGGTAAAAATCCCGTTTTGCGTTGAGGAATGCACTCTGGAATATAACATGGATGTTTCTAATGACCCAAGAAAAATTAGCGGTGGTGCTGGAACTACTGATAACTTGTCTACTAGTCATTGAATGCGTAATGATTTTCCATTGGACAGTTCTGACTGAATGTAATTGTGTCCTTGATCCATAAATTTGCAAATATTTATTGAACTAGACAGTAGGCACTATACTGTGTACTTGAGGATAGAATAGATTGCAAAATAGACACTGTCTTTGCTCTTGTGGAATATTGGAGTCTTTATGGGAGAAAAAGAACGAACTAAATTGTCTCATGAATAAATTTAAGAAATGTGACCAGTAGTAATTTCAGAATGCTCGTGACAACAAAGAGGAGTACTAAACTCAAAGTCCTGGGAAAGCTTCTATGAACAAAATTTTTTGGTGGAAGTCACAGGAGACTGTAATTTAAATGAATCTATATGGTGTACTTATTAAAAAATGTAATTTTAAAAATACAGATTTGAATTTCCCTAAAAAATTTCCTGGCTTTCTCAAGGTCATTATTGCCAGTAATATTTATCTCCTTTATGTCTTGAGTACTGGATTTCTTTTTAATAGCGGAAATAAAACCTAAGGACTAAGCACAATGTACAGTTTGCAGACAGCAACACAATTTTGGAAATAACTAGAAATCTCAAATGGCACATTCTGTCGAGGTATTTATTGAATCCAGTATAAGCTAAGGATTGTCTTATTAGTTATAATTATAGAATCTCATTAGACATTTACAGTAATTAGCAAGGAGGTGATAAAAGGCTTAGTGCAATAACTAGCTTCTTTTTCTTGGGAATTGAACAGTGATACTTGATTAAACTGGAATTATTTGAAAATTCTCCTTAAATTAAGAATATACAGCAAGAAAATTCCACAACACACCTGTTTACAATAGCTTTGAAATCAATTAGGCCCTTTTAGTATTCCTTTTAAAAGTGTGTTTCTACAGTCTTTCCTGGAGCAAAAAAGGATAAGATATGAAAACACAGAACCTCCCACCTTGAAGAAGAATTGCATTTTAATGTACTTTAGGCTTTTAACCAGAACCATGATTGGCAAACTACAGCCTATAGGTTAAATTCAGAAAGATAAGGATAGTTTTTACATGGTTCAAGGGCTGCAAGAGAAAAGAAAGACTAGAATATGCAATAGACACTATCAGTGTCCCCACAAAGCTTAAAATATTTGCTTTCTGTCTCACTATAAAAAAATTGGTACACCTGTTCTATAAGCAATAATAACCACATGAAGACAGCAACAACTGATGTAAAAAGTGATGAGATTTGTGGAATATACCATCTACTTTGTTGCAGTCTTCCTACAGAAGGTTCATTCAGATATTTTATTTAGATGCTATGCCAGAAAAAATATTCCCTTTAGGCTGTAGCTTACAAGCTGCTACTGTGCCCCTGGGTGCCTCAGGGACTTTCTAGGTGGTTCTGTGGGATAGTTTAACTTTTTGAGGGAAACACAGTGACATCTGTTGGACCATGTTAACAACTACAACTATTAAATTAGCATCCATCTATTTAATAAATGGAACTTTGGGGTGTTTCTTTTAGCCTGTGACACCATGAAAAAATTACTTAAAACACTGGACACTGTGAATTTCTGCCCCTAGCTACATTTTCCAAACTTGGCTAATAATCAGAATCACATGATATGCTTGTAAATATATAGGTTCCTGGACTCCATTTCAGACCTCCCAAATCAGAATCTTCAGGAGGGGAGACAGTGATCTGCATTTCAAATACCTATTACACTTTTGAGCAAATACTAATCTAAGTTTTCTCCTTTGAAGACTAAATAATTTACATTGTTTCCATTTTTTAATTAAATACAGAACCCAGATCAAAACATGCTTGTAGTATTCATCCTCTCTTCCACAAACTGATATTCTGTGATATATTACCAAAAGTACACAGTAGAACTAACATGTCTTTTCTAAACTTTGTCATTCCATAGTGAGTTTTTATTCCTTTTTGAGTATAACACACTTATTTCAGTGCATATTTATTAGAATTTCTCAAGTTGGAAGGACCAGGTAATTAGAAGGCATAGTTATGGTTGAAGGCACTAGTCCAGTGGAGCTGCTAGACATGTAGACACACAAGTACATAATTACCATGATATTCTACAAGAGTTATTATCAAGTCCTATTTTTTAGAAACTTTACCTGACAGAAATAGGATGGCTTAACAGAGAAATGTCATATTTAAGCTGGATATTATGAGAACTCATCACCAGACAAGGGTGGGGTACAGAATTAAAGGTAGAAGCAAGAGTAGGCAAAGCTTGAGGCACAAAGTTATGAGATATTCAAGCAAAAGAGGGGATTCTAATTTTCCCATGGGAAGAAAGGATATGCTAGAAAAGGAATGTTTTTCTGAGTCTCAAATGATGAAAGAAAAATGCATGCATTTTGTTTCTGAAAAAGTGTCAATATCATTCAAAAAGTTTTACTGAGCTAGGCTCTATTTCCAACTGCCTCTTTAACCCTTTTGCCAAATACCCAACACATAAAATATGTGACTGACATCTGTATTAGTCTGGTTGCTGTAACAAAATATGATAAAATTGGGTAGCTTACAAACAATAAATTTTTATCTCACAGTTTTGGAGACTTGGAAGTCCAAAATCAAGCATGGGCAGATTTCATGTCTTATAAGACCACAGTATAAACTCAGGGTGAAAGTTTGACAAGACTCTAGAAAGAGGATACTAGAAGGGAAGTAGAAGCCAAAATTCACTTAGGATGGTTCTAGATAAAAATTCTCAGGATCCACAAGCTCAAACTCTCTCTGTATACTTCTTTAATGAGCAATTTCAAGGCTATCTCTATTTAACACTTGCTTGCTGTGTCCTTACATAATAGAGGGATAAGAGGTCTCTTGAGGGCTTCTTTTATAAGGGCACTAGTCCAATCAGGAGGGCTCCACCCCATGACCTAATCAAGGCTCAAGTGCCTTCTACTATCACCTCTGGAATCAGACTTTCAACATAGACACTGCAACATTCAGTCCATTGTATAATTTCATAATTATCCTGTTAATCCCCCTTTTCATCTCTGGTTTGGTTGATGGTAATTTGTTCAGTAATCCCAAAAAGGAATCTCAGAGCCATTTAGAAATTTCTCCTAAATCCCACTTAAAATTACCCACCAATCTCCCTTAAGTCCATTTCTTTCTTTTCATTACAATTTCTACTATACATTTGGTCCTCATGATTTCTCTCTTTAACTAGTTAATTTTCTTCCTGAATGATTTTTCAGCTAATAAGTACTGAAACAGGAATTTGTCCTTCTGTCTAGCTCTAGATTCTTTTCTCTTTATCCACTATACTCTAGAGAATCACCTTACTATGAACCAGCACAGTATAAAGTCAGGGTGAAAGTTTGACAAGACTCTAGAAAGAGGATACTAGAAGGGAAGTATAAGCCAAAATTCACTTAGGATGGTTCTAGATAAAAATTCTCAGGATCCACAAGCTCAAACCCTCTCTATATACTACTTTAATGAGCAATTTCAAGGTTATCTCTATTTAGCTCCAAGTCACAGAACAGTCTGTCCCATCTTCCAGGAGAGCCTTTATATGCTTCTACACACCTGACAACGAATCAAATTGCCAAAAGATTCAGTGATAGAAAAACATTATTCCATATCATACACAAGGTGTAATTTCTATGTCCTTATTTCCTGGCCTCTGACCTGCCTCTTGCTAGGAAAACAGAATATCCACGTGTGTGTGTGTGTGTGTGTGTGTGTGTATGAGAGAGAGAAAGAGAGAGACTGTGTATTTAATGTCAGTAGAGGAGTTGACGTGGTGAGGCTGTTGACAATAAAAAAAGACAAAATAATAAGCCAATGTAAGTCAGGTAGAATCTTTGCTTCCATTCTATGAGTCATGAGGTACTGATGAGAAGCAGCATGCTTTATAAGAAACTTTGTTCTTGATGGCTGTTCAGGAAATATTCACTAAGGAAAAAAGTAACAAAATATTTTTGTCAAATGAATTTCAATATCACTCCATATAATATTTTGGTTGTCTATGGAAAACATTATAAAGTGTAAATGAGCTTTCCATTATGGTACAAAAGTTGTTAAGTGTAAGCCAATAAACCATTAATACAAAGAATCTTCTATACCTTATTCATTTTAAATTTCTACTTGTTATTTATGTTTCTATTTGCATTAACCCATTATGTTTCACTGTCCTACATAAAGGACACATATAAAAACCTATAAAACTTTATAGAACATTTATATATAGGATGATGGGACATAATGTGTTGAGGAAATGTGTTGTCACATCTGAAAACCTCAGTCCTCACCATTTGTATAGCAGCTATTTTACCTCAGTGTTCAAGTTACTTGCCATGGGAAAAGCCTATTGTTTTTCACAGCTAAAATATAAGTGCTGGTTGATAAAATGACACACAGAGACAAAATATCATAATTTTAAGGTAACATTTTAATGATAAGTGGATATAAAATGATTCATAAATAAACCTGTTTTCA